ACCCTTTGTCTACCCGTTCGGGACAATAGCTTATGGTTGTAGGCTGCTGTCTGAGTGTATTGTACGGCCTGGTTAAGGGTTTGTGGGTCTCTATATAGCGCTAGTTCAGCGGCTTCTGTGTCACTACAACCTTTTAGAAATCCCCCACTCGCCGGCACAGATTTACGTTACTGGCTTTTGATAACAATTTGCTAGGGCACTTTATAATTCTGCGACTGCAATGCACAGACGTGATATCTCTCCTCATGATTCCGAGAAAAGAAAAAAGAAAAAAATTTTTTTTTCACCAAATGAAAAAAAAAACCTTACCGATACCGCAGCCCGTCTCGTCTTCCCCACCAATGCAATGGGAAGCGCCGTCACATACAAAACTCATATCGATGCACATTCCATCTCCACAGGTGATCCCACCGCAAACTTTTCACGAAAGAAGAACAAAGTAAATCCGCATTACGATAATGCTCGTACTAATCTCATGGATACAAAATGAACTGAAATCCGGCACCCGTGAGAGGCTTATTTGTTTAATATTGCAAGATGTGCAACCTCACGCACGCATGTCAAGAAAAGCTTCGCAAAGGCAACGATACAGAAAGTGATGACAACTATGCGATGGGTATACAGACGGGACAAGGAGTCCATTTTGAAAAAAAAGGAAGAATAATCTTAGGTTCACCGGTCTATACGTAAACAAAAGTGTACTTTTACAATTTGTGCAATCTTCAATCCATGGTAGCTTTTTGATAACAATTTGCTAGGGCAGTTTTGGTAAAATGCAAGTGAACATATAATGCCACTTCAAGACACGACGGTTGAGTTATCCGATTTTATGAGGACTTCTTCCCCTGTCACCCGTCCGACAAAGTGCTTCAGAGCCCGAAAGACCGCAAGCAGTTCCAGGATATTGATTTGGCACTGTCTGTCCGCCTGGGACCCAGACCCTGCTGCTGATTTTATTCCAATATGTGCCCCCCAACCTGTGTTGGAGGCATCCGTCACCAGAGTCACAGAAGGTTGTGGTCATGGAAAAATCAGTCCCGCCTTGACGTTTGTTCGCTGAGACCACCAGTCCAGATGGGGGCGAATCATGTTTGGGATTGGCACTGGCCGTTGTATTTGGTGAATGCTTGGTCGGTAGTGGGCAAGTAGATGTCATTGTAGTGGGCGCATCCGCATCCTGCACCATGGAAGCACATCCACCATGCTTGCCATTAGGCCCAATAGCCGAAACCAGGGTATTGCCTCGCTCCTCGGTCGGGAATGCCAGCCCTCGCCGGAGGTCCAACTTTGCTCCTAAGAAAACTGGGTGCATCATTGGGTTTGGTTGGGATTTTTCGACGTTGACCAGGAACCCCAACTCTGAAATGATGTTGTAAGTGAGTTCGAGTGCCCAACTCGTTTCCTCCTTTGTCTCCCCCACAATGAGCCAATCGTCCAGGTAAACAAAGATTTGCAACTGGCGTTGTCGGAGGATTCCAGCTACGACCTTCGCCAGTCGCGTGAATACCCTCGGGGCAGTGGAAAGGCCGAAGGGTAGCGTGAGGAACTCGTAAGGAATGCCTGATGTTCGTTCCACAGCGGTACATGTAGATAGGCGTTCTTGAGATCGATCGACACCGCCCAAGTTGGAATGGGTAATGAATCCAAAACTGTCCTCAGCGACTCCATCCGGAACCGTTTTGGTCGGACATATTTGTTTAACAGCCAAAGGTTCAAAATCGGTCGCCATTCTCCCGGTTTTTTCTTTCGCGCTAGAAAGAATGTTGAGAAAAATCCTCGAGCCGCATCCTCTGTCGGCACTCTGCGTATTGCCCCTTTGCTCCAGAGCGTGAAGCTTGGTCTTGTCGGATGGAATCGGTGTTACTCTCGGTTGGTTCGCAGACGGGGAGTACTCATGAACTCTATTTCGTAGCCGGAAGTTACTGTTTTGAGTACCCACCCGTCGTTGCACAAAAGGGCCCAAGTCCTTGCAAAACGTATGAGTCCATCCCCTACGGGCCCTGGATAGGGGCCGTGCGAAGGGTGCCGTCACTGGCGCCAACCGCCGCCCTGGTAACCTCCGCGGTAAGCTTTGGAGTGGGGGGTGAAGCCAACTCTACCCCGGGTACGCAACCCAAAGGCCTGACTCTGTCCCACTGTTGTAGTGGCCTTGTAAGACAAGCCAGATGGGTTGGAGGCAAACGGCTTCAACGGTTTATGGGGGAATGTCTTGCCCTTAGTCGTTGCACTGCCACCTCTGGCCGGACGAGAGCTGCCCTTTGGACTAGACTGTCTATTGAGATTGATCTTGTTCGTAGCTTTTATCCGCTTGCTTCAGCTTGCATGATCTCTTGGAATTTCCCTCCAAACAAGTCGGAACTCAGTTGGGGGAGGGATTCGAGGCTGGACCTCAAACCATCAGAGGGAACAAAGATTGTATCCAACACGTTAGCTCGGCGGGCATTGATTGTCATCAAGGACACCCGCATAAACTGGTCTATGCACAGCCGTAGCCCGTCGTCAAGGCAACGAAACGCTGTCTCAGATGCCTCTGGTGACACCGGCGAGTCTGCCTCACAAGAACACACCAAGTATTCTGACAGGAGTTGTAGAAAACATGCCACTCGAATTCCTGCATGTGAAGCTGTGTCAATCTTCAGTAATGACAATTTAAAAACATTCTTTTCTTTTGATGGAAAAGGTGATTTCACCAAATTTCGGTTTCTTCTTTCACCGAATCCACCGCGATTTTATCACGTACCGTAGCGGGCATGGGCGGCACTGATAAAAATTTATCGAAGTCCGCCTGAGGTACGCTGAACGGGCGAGTTTCACGGCGCACGAACGGACATATTTTTTTAACCTCTGAAAGTGCGCTCATGCGATCGGCGCACAGCCGATCAATCGGAAGAACCGGAAAAAATTCCTTCGGTTCCACCGGCTTGGTCCGGCGCTTAAACGATTGTCTAGCGCCCTCTACCCGCTCTTCTTCGTTCTTCGACGGTATATGTAGCACCCGTACCATATCCTTCATGACCAAGCGCAATCGCTGGTCGGTCGTGGATTGGTAGGATGATTCATCCGAATCCACCGAGGAATCACCCACCTCCCTTGGGGGCTGTTCCCGGCGATCACGTGTTTGTCTCGAGGGAAAAGTTTCCTCATTCCCTGAGGGTTGTTCGATACTGGGGACCGCTACCGCTGCAGAAACCCGGCAAGTGACCCTATCTGACACACTCCCCAGGTCGGAAAAATTATCCGAGACAAGGATTGACATCTCATCCTCGGCCCCCGGTTCCGGCAAAACCTGCCCGGGCTCCGGTGGAGTCACCAGTTGAGCCAGCGCTGTCGGTTTCGGTATCCTGTAATGCCGTCGACAGCCTCGTGGCAATCTGCTAGTGGATGACGATGAAGAGCTTGAACTAGTATATCTCCACCATCTCTTACGCCGGTGGCGTGTCTCACCATCGGACCTGTCCCGGCTCCGGTTGCGTCCGCGACTCAGAGCCGGAGCTTGACCTACCGAAACCGTCTTCGGGCGGGCTCCGGTGTTAGTCGCACTGGTCCCTGCTCCGGACCCACCGGGAACCACACCGGTTTCGGGGGCTGTTCTGGTCACACCGGGCTAACGTGGCCCGTCCCTATATGCCCCGCCAGCATAGCTTTGGCCCGGGAATTATCTTTTTTCTTCCCTGGCTTACATTTGGAAGCGAGCCAGGCTGCCTGGCTGGGGGCGCCGTGTCGGATCCCTCACTCAAACCTGCCTGGGGCATGTCCCCCGATTGAGTGGTAAGGCTCGGACTCTTGGTGCCAGTGACTAAACTAAATTCCGGAGGCCTCACCGGCACGGATTTCGTAGTATGGCCCAATGCTTTATTGGTGGCCAGAGACCCTTTAGGCATGACCCCAGAAAGCGGTGATTGTCCGATGTCGCCTTGCTCGGTGCCCCGGAAGACACACTGGCTGCCGAATCACCCGAGGGAGACCGGGAACGCGTCCATGCTGCTAGGGCCTCCCATTCTGCTGACCCCCACTTCTTACAAATCGAGCATGGCTCTCGTCGGTTACACGGTCTGCAACGGGGGCATAAATCATGCAAATCTTGTTTGGGGCGGGGCTTAATACGCCGACAAGAAGAACATGGAACGAAATTCTTTGGCGTCACACCACGCTTACTTTGACGTGTGTCCGCCATTACTAACGTGAAAATAAACTGTAGATTCACAAAACAATCCCAAAGAAAACCTGACACAACCCGTGTATTTCTTTTATTAATAAACAGATAACCAGCGTACTCTGTACGTACTATTTTATTCTGAACATATTATACAAAACAACGCAAGCACACCATGCGGTATATAAAACAAGAAGAAAATGACACACGTCGTGTTTGACTTCTTTATTAACAAATCAACAGCAAATGTACTCCGTACACTAACCTGTAAACGTAACAAAAACAAAACCTGGCACTCTACCAGAAGCACCGAATCTTGTATAACTCACGAAAGAAATAACTCACAAATTTCTTTCAAAATGTACAAAAAAAACTATAGCAGAGGATACTTTCGTAGGAGATCCAAAAACACATCCGTCTTCCATGAACGCTAGCGGGGGCGGGCGATGGAGGGTGCCCTTGTGTGGTATTAAAATATACCGTGGAAGCCTTAGGCTTGGAGAAATATGCAAATTGTAGGTTTAACAGGTAAGGGAGTCCCTGAAGTGGACTCCAAGATCTGATGGTGAATCTTTTCCTCCAACTAAACAATGATCTATGTGGGGTTTGTTTACCAACGACCCCATTGGTGCAAACAACCCATGCAAGTGATCAGATGAAATATGTCCGAACTGACGTTTTTAACTGGGCGTCAAAAGTATGAGTCGCCGGGTCGGAGCTTTAATATAATTTATATCTAAACAATGTAACTTTTCATTGTTTAAAATTACAGGGGAGGATGGAAGCGGAAGCGGCCATGGAACTATGAGTGGCAGTGGAAGTGGAAGTGCCTCTGGAGATATTGACAGTGGAAGTGGAAGTGCAAGTGCCTCTGGAGATATTGACAGTGGAAGTGGAAGTGCCTCTGGAGATATCAACAGTGGAAGCGGAAGTGGAAGTGGAAGTGCCTCAAGGGATATTGACAGTGGAAGCGGAAGCAGAAGCGGAAGTATGAGTGGAAGTGGAAGTGCCTCTGGAGATATAGACAGTGGAAGTGGAAGTGCCTCTGGCGATATTGACAGTGGAAGCGGAAATGGAAGTGGAAGTGCCTCTGGAGATATTGACAGTGAAAGCGGAAGTGGAAGCGGAAGTGGAAGCGCGAGTGGAAGTGGCAGTGCCTCTGGAGATATTGACAGTGGAAGTGGAAGTGCCTCTGGCGATATTGACAGTGGAAGCGGAAGTGGAAGTGGCAGTGCCTCTGGAGATATTGACAGTGGAAGTGGCAGTGCCTCTGGAGATATTGACAGTGGAAGTGGAAGTGCCTCTGGAGATATTGACAGTGAAAGCGGAAGTGGAAGTGGCAGTACCTCTGGAGATATTGAAAGTGGAAGCGGAAGCGGAAGTTTGAGTGGAAGTGCCTCTGGAGATATTGACAGTGGAAGTGGCAGTGCCTCTGGAGATATTGACAGTGGAAGTGGAAGTGGAAGTGGCAGTGCCTCAGGAGATATTGAAAGTGGAAGTGGAAGTGCCTCTGGAAATATCGACAGTGGAAGTGGCAGTACTTCTGGTGATATTGACAGTGGAAGCAAAAGTGGAAGTGGCAGTGCCTCTGGAGATATTGACAGTGGAAGCGGAAGCGGAAGTGCTAGTGGCAGTGCCTCAGGAGATATTGAAAGTGGAAGTGGAAGTGCCTCTGGAAATATCGACAGTGGAAGTGGCAGTACTTCTGGTGATATTGACAGTGGAAGCAAAAGTGGAAGTGGCAGTGCCTCTGGAGATATTGACAGTGGAAGCGGAAGCGGAAGTGCTAGTGGAAGTGCCTCTGGAGATATCGACAGTGGAAGTGGAAGTGGAAGTGGCAGTGCCTCGGGAGATATTGACAGTGGAAGTGGAAGTGGAAGTGGCAGTGCCTCTGGAGATATTGACAGTGGAAGTGGAAGCGGAAGCGGAAGTTCGAGTGGAAGTGCCTCTGAAGATATCGACAGTGGAAGTGGAAGTGGCAGTGCCTCTGGAGATATTGACAGTGGAAGCGGAAGTGGAAGTGCGAGTGGAAGTGCCTCTGGAGATATCGACAGTGGAAGTGGAAGTGGAAGTGGCAGTGCCTCAGGAGATATTGACAGTGGAAGTGGAAGTGGCAGTGGCAGTGCCTCTGGAGATATTGACAGTGGAAGCGGAAGCGGAAGTGCGAGTGGAAGTGCCTCTGGAGATATCGACAGTGGAAGTGGAAGTGGCATTGCCTCTGGAGATATTGACAGTGGAAGTGGAAGTGGAAGTGGAAGTGCCTCTGGAGATACTGACAGTGGAAGCGGAAGCGGAAGTGCGAGTGGAAGTGGCAGTGCCTCTGGTGATATTGACAGTGGAAGTGGAAGTGCTTCTGGAGATATTGACAGTGGAAGTGGCAGTGCCTCAGGAGATATTGACAGTGGAAGTGGAAGTGGCAGTGGCAGTGCCTCTGGAGATATTGACAGTGGAAGTGGAAGTGCCTCTGGAGATACTGACAGTGGAAGTGGAAGTGGCAGTGGCAGTGCCTCTGGAGATATTGACAGTGGAAGTGGAAGTGGAAGTGCCTCTGGAGATACTGACAGTGGAAGCGGAAGTGCGAGTGGAAGTGGCAGTGCCTCTGGCGATATTGACAGTGGAAGTGGAAGTGGAAGTGCCTCAGGAGATATTGACAGTGGAAGCGGAAGTGGAAGTGGAAGTGCCTCTGGAGATACTGACAGTGGCAGCGGAAGCGGAAGTGCGAGTGGAAGTGGCAGTGCCTCTGGAGATATTGACAGTGGAAGTGGAAGTGCTTCTGGAGATATTGACAGTGGAAGTGGAAGTGGAAGTGGAAGTGCCTCTGGAGATATTGACAGTGGCAGTGGCAGTGCCTCTGGAGATATTGACAGTGGAAGCGGAAGCGGAAGTGCGAGTGGAAGTGCCTCTGGAGATATCGACTTCCCCTGTGCAGATGGAATGACGCGCATCCCATTTTCTGGGTTTTGTGACGGCGAACCCGATTGCCCTGATGGAGAAGACGAGGTGGGCTGCGGTAAGTGGTTTTTTTTTCATTTGGTGAAAAAAACCCCACTTTTTTCTGTTTTCTTTTCTCGGAATGATGAGGAGAGATATCACGTTTGTGCATTGAAGTGGCATTATATGTTCACTTGCATTTTCCCAAAACTGCCCTAGCAAATTGTTATCAAAAAGCTACCATGGATTGAAGATTGCACAAATTGTAAAAGTACACTTTTGTATACGTATAGACTGGTGAACCTAAGATTATTCTTCCTTTTTTCAAAATGGACTCCTCGTTTCGTCTGTATACCCATCGCACAGTTGTCATCACTTTCTGTATCGTTGCCTTTGCGAAGCTTTTCTTGACAGTCATGTGTACGTGAGGCGGCACACTTAGCAATATTAAACAAATAAGCCTCTCACACGTTCCGGATTTCAGTTCATTTTGTATCCACGAGATTAGTACGTGCATTATGGTAATGCGGATTTACTTTGTTCTTCTTTCGTGATAAGGTCGCGACGACTTCCTCTGTCCAGATACAACGACGCGCATCCCATTTTCTGGGTTTTGTGACGGCGAACCCGATTGCCCTGATGGAGAAGACGAGGTGGGCTGCGGTAAGTGGTTTTTTTTTCATTTGGTGAAAAAAACCCCACTTTTTTCTGTTTTCTTTTCTCGGAATGATGAGGAGAGATATCACGTTTGTGCATTGAAGTGGCATTATATGTTCACTTGCATTTTCCCAAAACTGCCCTAGCAAATTGTTATCAAAAAGCTACCATGGATTGAAGATTGCACAAATTGTAAAAGTACACTTTTGTATACGTATAGACTGGTGAACCTAAGATTATTCTTCCTTTTTTCAAAATGGACTCCTCGTTTCGTCTGTATACCCATCGCACAGTTGTCATCACTTTCTGTATCGTTGCCTTTGCGAAGCTTTTCTTGACAGTCATGTGTACGTGAGGCGGCACACTTAGCAATATTAAACAAATAAGCCTCTCACACGTTCCGGATTTCAGTTCATTTTGTATCCACGAGATTAGCACAAGCATTATGGTAATGCGGATTTACTTTGTTCTTCTTTCGTGATAAGCTTGCGACGGCTTCCTCTGTGCAGATGGAACGACGTGCATCCCATTTTCTTGGTTTTGTGACGGCGAACCCGATTGCCCTGATGGAGAAGACGAGGTGGGCTGCGGTAAGTGGTTTTTTTTTTCATTTGGTGAAAAAAACCCACTTTTTTCTGTTTTCAGTTCATTTTGTATCCATGAGATTAGTACGAGCATTATGGTAATACAGATTTACTTTGTTCTTCTTTCGTGATAAGCTTGCGACGGCTCTCTCTGTGCAGATGGAACGACGTGCATCCCATTTTCTTGGTTTTGTGACGGCGAACCCGATTGCCCTGATAAAGAAGACGAGGTGGGCTGCGGTAAGTGGTGTTTTTTTTTCATTTGGTGAAAAAAAACCCACTTTTTTCTGTTTTCTTTTCTCGGAAACATGAGGAGAGATATCACGTTTGTGCATTGAAGTGGCATTATATGTTCACTTGCATTTTTTCAAAACTGCCCTAGCAAATTGTTATCAAAAAGCTACCATGGATTGAAGATTGCACAAGTTGTAAAAGTACACTTGTGTATACGTATAGACCAGTGAACCTAAGATTATTCTTCTTTGTTTCAAAATGGACTCCTTGTCCCGTCTGTATACCCATCGCGCAGTTGTCATCACTTTCTGTATCATTGCCTTTGCGAAGCTTTTCTTGACAGTTATGTGTACATGAGGCGGCACACCTTGCAATATTAATAATAATAATAACTAGAAATTGTGGTTGTGAACAACCACAGAGCTGTTCCCAATATGGATTATCTGTTGGACCCATAGACATATAAGTAGAGATCTATGTCTGTTTGCAACAGAAGATAGGGCTTTTTCGCATTATGATTTGTTTTTATCAATAATACGTCCCTGACTATGCATGAACAAAAAATCTGTCAAAGTTAGCTGGAAATCGGCTCAAACGGTCACTGTGGACAGGATTTGACCTCAGCAACACGTGCGCTGTGCGCGGGCTGACTGACATACGATATGTACAACGTACGTGCATGTACATGTACCGGTACATTGTGGACGTCCTGTGCATGTTTTAAAGCAGAGGTATTGTCAACCTGAAGTTTTAAGCGTGCGCAGGGCATGTCCGAGTTTGCTTATTGCCTCGAAACTTTGAAATGTTTTAGACCTACCCTTCAATCGACAATTAAAGTAAAAACTAATATAAAAACTACCATGGTTGATTTTTCAGGAATTTTCAAAGGAAAAATAGTCTTTTCATTATAACTTCCGGTCTGATGACGTCATACACCTAAAACTTCGCACACGTCTTAAGTAGGTCAAGGTCATCATATACACCAATATTTAGGCGATTCCGACAAACTTCGCCACAGACATCTATTCAAAATACATTTTTGCTAATTTTCAACCTGTCGCGAGAGGGCGCTCGAAGATTGCATGACGTCATCGGTAAATAATTTGAAGAACACTATCAGCCAAGAGACTAACACCGTTAAAAGCAAGTTCATATCTATTACCACTTTCAAATAATAAGCCACTTCCGGTTTTGGCCTTTTTCGACCGGAAGCAAGGGTCATGTGATTTCACGCACACTGAATGAAATAAAGACCTCAACCTACTCTACCACTTGCCGGCAACAGAATGCTGCGGACGCGTACGGTTGATTTCTTATGCATTTTTAAATATTAAAAGTGTCACAATTTAATTGCCTATAAATAAACACCGGATGACGTCATCATGACGTCATCATTACACAATGTTGTTTGAATTAGGGTCTTTGCTTGGACAAAGAGTGGTGTAAATGAATTACTGGCAAAGAGTCGAAAATGCCCTTTGAAAATCGACATTTTTTTAAAAATTTCTGTGTACAAAGTCTATGGGAAAAATTAAATATTCAAAATTATATAATAAATCGCGTGATGATGTCAGCATGACGTAATGATTCGGCACACATCTGCAGGTGATGTTCTAAGTATGTGCCAGGTTTGAAGAAAATCGGAATTGTTTTAAGGCCAAAAGTGGCGTGTAGAAAAAAAGTGTACAAAGTCTATGGGATTTTGTGCAAAAAAGAAGTGGAAGAAGAAGAGGAAGAGGAAGAAAGAAAAACTAGAGGTCTATGTCTGTTTGCAACAGAACATAGGGCTTTTCCGCATTATGATTTTTTTTAATCAATAATATGCCCTGAATATTCATGAACATAAAATCTGTCAAAAGAATTTTGCATTTTGCATGTTGCGTTCGGGAGATATGGCTAAAAGGTCCAAACAAATAAATATTCATATAAAATCTCAGCATTAGTCCGGTGGCTTAGAGCTAATTTTGGGCAAGATCGTGACACGCCGGATTAAAGCACCAAATTTGGTACAGTTACTGTATAGGTCCCTAGAAGTCAATCTAGAGGGGGGTGCCCGGTTTTGGGGGCCTAGGTCAAGGTCAGGCCAAGGTCAAAGGTCACAAGGTGTACAATACTGCATATAGTTGTCGTAAATTTCCCCAAAAGTCTGAAATTTAAAGTTCTGAATTGCATAAAAGGATGTCAGGCAACTATAAGACCAACCATATCAGAAAAAAATCCATCAAAAAACCTTTGCCCAACAAAATAGTGGAGACTTCGCAATTTCCAAAAATGATGACTCAGCACTTTTTAGAAAATTTGATTTCTGTTATGTTAATGTTATAGAAACTATAAGCTTTGTTATATTTTCATTATTTTGTTGGAATGTGAATAATCAAAGACATAAATAATGTTCTTCCATTCTTTTATTAATTAGTTATGGTTTGTTAATTATCTTAATTAAGCGACAGTTTGCTTCAAAATAATGATAGTTATAAAGTTGCCATTATGTATGCATATGTGTATGTACAAATGTATGTATTCCCATCACACTTTACTCATAAGGCATGAAGGTGTACAATCAGTTTCCAGTATTCTAATCTTGGTCCAGTGTAATGGCTTTGTCATATTACATGTAGTTACCCGTGTTGAATAATCAATATCAGTGTGGCAGGTATACATTGTGTTGAGAAAGGACAGTACTGCATACTTCGCTCTTTAAACTGTTTGTTCTTTTCATAAGAATTTATTTTTTGATTTACATTAGGCCTATATTCATTCATAATTTTGTGTCCTGGCCTTAAAATTGAAGAGAATGCACTGCACTATTACAATCTTTCCACATCGATAGCTTTGTATCATCATAAATCTCAGCAACTTACGGATTAGTTGGCTATTATCCAGCCATTGGCTCCAGTCCAAAAAGTTAATGAGTTTGTATACCTCTCGACTAAATGTTCAAACTAGCTCTACATGTATTTTATTGTTTTCATTATTGAAAACTACTATTTGGCATAATAAGGTATGCATATTTATAGGCATTTAGGTTTAGCGACTCGCAATTTTCAAGTTTGGTCCGAAGTACACTTGAGCTTTCATGGAATGAAAAGCGCTCTTGTAAATCTTTTGCTTTGTGAATTGTGAATCAATCACACACAAGGTATAGGACATAATTTCAGCAATGGTAGGCAAAATCAATCAATGAGCACATCAGGGTGCTAATTATTATTCAAATAAAAAAAACTACTTTGACACATGTCATTACAGGTATTCAGCTCCTCCGTATACATGTACATACACTGTATAAATGTAGGTTTACGTATAGGCTACCGTGCCACCGTGAAACAATGACAAACAATAATAAAAATGTGAACTTGAACGACCAATACATTTTTAGAAGAAAAAACATAATAGAAAGCCAGAAACTGACCATTCACTTTTATGTCTTGTGAGTTAAAAGTGATATACGTATAAACAATACATACTTATACAGACATCAGCTATTAAATCATGATTGAAATCAAACTAACGTTGTAATCATAATAATTAATAAACCATGTATAATTAATAAATCAAAGGAAGAGCGTTAATTATGCTCGCTAGTATCCAAGTGCCGTAGTAGTGATGCAAAAAAAAGAACAAAGTTCCCTTTTCTATAACTTTAACATGACAGAAAGCAAACTTTCTAAAAAGTGCTGAGTCATCATTTTTGGAAATGGAATAAACTCCCCTATTTTGTTGGGCAAAGTTTTTTGGGTGGAACTTTTTCTAAAAGGTGAGGTCTTGTAATTGTCAGACATCCTTTTATACTATTCAGAATTTAAAATTTCAGACTTTTGTTGATATTTACTAAAACTACATACCGTATTATACACCTTGTGACCTTTGACCTTGGCCTGACCTTGACCCAGGCAGCTAAAATCGGGCACCCTCTCTAGAATGACTTCTTGGGACCTATACAGTAAGTGTACCAAATTTGGCGCTTTAATCCGGCAGGTCACGATTTTTTCCTTAAGCCACCGGACTAGATGACGTCATCATGACGTCACCTCATTTTTAATCTATAACTCATCCTGGTATAGCCACATACCAAGTTTCAACCCAATCGGACTTACATTTCTGTAGATATAAGACTTCACAATATGTACGTAAATTTTCAAAAATCAATAAAAAATTAGGTGATGACGTCATCGTGACGTCATAGTCTAGGCAGAATTTTTGTATGAGGGTCTTCCTTGGCTGTAACTTTGATGACGATTCCAGATCGCCAAGTTATAAAAATGGTGCCTTGAAAACGTGTACAAAGTCAATGGGTTAAAAATCCAACAGCAGAAAAACTACACCTTTAAATACGTGATTTGCCTTTAAACTGAAACATTTTTATCAAATATTACTTGATATTCTGACTCTTGGGAATATTTTCAATCAAATGACAGGCGTAAAAAATACGATTTCTTTTTCCTTCTCATAGTAATTCTCAGCCGAAGTTCAGAACTACTCAGTAAGATATATCAGTGTTGTATAGGAAAAGACTTGTGGAGAAAGCTGTGTACAAAGTCTATGAGAAAAATTAATTATTCATGAATCCATAATAAATCATTTGATGATGAAGTCATCATGATGTCATAGTCTTGGCATAATTTTTGTATGAGGGTCTTTCTAGGCTGTAACTTTGATGACGATTCCAGATTGCCAAGTTATGAAAATGGTGGCTTGAAAACGTGTACAAAGTCAATAGGTTAAAAATCCCACAGCAGAAAAACTGCACCTTTAAATTAGTGATTTTCCTTTAAACTGAAACATTTTTATAAAATATTACTTGCTATTCTAACTCTTGGGAATATTTTCAATCAAATGACAGGCGTAAAAAAATACGATTTCTTTTTCCTTCTCATAGTAATTCTCAGCCGAAGTTCAGAACTACTCAGTAAGATATATCAGTGTTGTATAGGGAAAGACTTGTGGAGAAAGCTGGGTACAAAGTCTATGAGAAAAATTAATTATTCATAAATCCATAATAAATCACTTGATGATGTCATCATGACGTCACTCTTCGGGACACATCTTGGCTATAGGGACTATGCTTATGCCAACTTTCAATGATGTCTGACAAAGATTAATGCCAAAAGTGATATAGGGCCTAATACGTCCCTGTCTATGCGCATGCATGAACATAAAATCTGTCAAAGTTAGCCGAAAATCGGCTCAAACGGTCACTGTGGACAGGATTTGACCTCAGCAACACGTGCGC